TGTGCGGTACATTGAAATTGGTCCTCACCCAATCTCCCTACCTATGCTCAGATCCACGCTCGGTAGCGCTGCCGGGAGCTTCATTCCATCTATGCACAAGACTAAGGATCCATGGGTAAGTCTTTCAGAATCACTCGCGACTCTTTACCTGGCGGGTTTTCCAGCCAAATGGCGTGAAGTGTTTGCCGGTACATCTGGTAAAGCTATCAACCTCCCATCATACCCATTCTCGGACAACAAATATTGGGTCGGCTACGAAGAAACCGCCATTGAGCCGATCAAGACGAATACTACACCAAACAATACCGCTGTCAACACTGGTTACTCAATGATTGCTGCTTGTCTGCAGCGGCCATCAGAAGGAATTCCGGGCATCTTTGAAACTCCAATTTCTAGCCTTGCATCTCTCATCAGTGGTCACAATGTTGGTGGATATTCTTTATGCCCAGCATCCGTCTATCACGAGCTTGCCATGGCCTCTGCACGCTTTGGTGTACCTGAAAAGGTCGCTTGTTTACATACTTTGAGCAAAGTCAAATACTCCCACCCATTGATCTACGAGGATGGCTCGGACAAAATGGTACGCGTCACATTGAGTGTCGATAGTTTAACCGGTGACAGCACCTTCGAGGTTTCCTCATATAGTGGGGAATCCTCTACCGGCAGAGTCCATTGCTCTGGCGAGGTCAGGCAGACGCCCAAGGTCAGCATTGAGCACAAATTCCACCGCAAAGCACTCAAGCTCGAGCACAATAAGGTCACAATCTTCTACTCCAATGGTTGCGAAGGACCTGAGACTATTCACACCCGCATGCTATACGAGGTCATCTTCCCCCGCGTCGTTTCCTATTCGAAGCCCTACCAGACCGTGCGCACAATCACCATCGATCAGACCGGGACCGAGGGGTTTGCTGTCGTGAAAATGCCAGCCGGATACAAGAAGGGCAAATATGTCGTGCACCCGGTCTTCATGGATACCCTTCTCCACGCCGCAGGCTTTATCGCTAACAGCGGAGTCACCGCTGACGATGCTTGCATTTGCAACGAGGTCGGCCAGGCGAAGATCCTTTATGACGAGATTAACTACGATGATACATTCGGTGTCTACTGCAACCTTGTCTACCTTCCGAAAGAAACTACCTTCGTTGCGGACGCCTATGCCACGAACTCTGCCGGGAAGATCGTCGGGTCTATCAAAGGAATGCATTTCAAGAAATTGAAGCTTGTCAAGTTCAGAAGCCTATTGGCGGCTGCGACAGGGAAGAAGACCCAAACTAACCCTGCCCCTGCTGCTCTGCCACCCACCCAGAGACCTCTCACACCAGTTTCGCGTGAACCCTCTCCTCCACCAGTGGATATTGCGGGTCAGGTGGCAAAGGTCGTGGCTTCGACCTGCGGTGTTCCGATAGGCGGCATTACCCCCAGCACTGAGATGGAGTCTCTTGGAGTTGACTCTTTGATGATCTTCGAGATTGCCGATAAGCTGAAATCTACCTTTAGCTCGCTCGAGATGGAATCCTCTGAGCTCGCTACATGCCA